AACGGGTCGATGCTGCGTGAACATGCGACTCGACTTTTTGCTTGCCGGCCATGTACTACCACTGACTGTCTGTGCGCATGTGTGTGTGTATGTGTGTAAGTGTGTGTGTCGCCCTCTCGGCTGCGGGCTCTCTACTATTGCTCACGCAACATTTTCATTAAATTCCAAATTGCTGCTGTACGCTTTTTGATATACAGAGTGGAGTACTCACCACACATCGTTCCACAAAACTCGGTGAGAAAGAGAAGGAGGGTTATAACGAATATTGATCCTTTATATTCCAAACCCCATATAGGGAAGACTATGAGTATTGCCGTAATGGTATGGATAATTGTGATGATGCTCTCAACCACAATGTGAGACAGCAGAATTTCTTCTACTTTTACCCCTGTCACGCATGTACAATGTATTCACCTTAATGTGATAAAATATACAAAGGCAAAGAAATAATCGTAAAGTCTATTTCGTAGTGTCATTAAAAAATTAATACCTTGGACTAAGCTTCGATTCCAGATACCCTCCTCTCGATCTGTGATTATCAAGATGGAAGAGACTACATTGCCCAAAGAGAAGCTTACTCTGCAAAAACATATTACAATACTATAAGTAGTTTAGTAGATTAAGTTTATTTATTATGTTGGCATGACTTTTTCTTACAGTGATAGAATTGATGGTATCACGAAGTCTATATACTTTAAATCAGTAGTACCATATATAGGATCTTCAAACTGAAAAGGATAGAAAATTGAATTTTTTTCGTAGTGTTACGCAAGGTATACGGAGAGAGAAAGAAAAAGGGAAAGAGATTTACTTATAAAATTGAAGTTTGTAAAATATACTGACTCGTATCGGTGGAGTAGCCAATTTTGGCAAATATTTACAGTCACTCATGATAGCCTTGAAAACGTCTAAGAACCATTCAAATAGAGGTTTCTGTAGCAAAAGTGCAATTGGCCTTTCTGTAACGAAAATCATTATAAATTTAAATATTTGTAACAAATCAATTCTTTTACATGTCGTTCATGTCAAAATATTCAGGATGTAAAATGGTCTTAAACTCTTGGATTCCTTTTTGTGTAGTTCTTTATATAACAAAACTTTCTATTTAAAGATACGTTTCTACGTGCGCGCGCGCTGGTGTGTCGAAATATACACAAATACAAAGTAATAAAATTAAAAGTCATTATTTTAAACATTTGTAACAAATGTATTATTTTACATGTGGTTCGTGTCAAAATATTTAGTACGTGTAATTGTTTTAATCTTTTAAATTCCTTTTTGTGTAGTTTTTTAAATAATAAAACTTTCTATTTAAAAATATTCATCTACGTACGCGCGCGCACGCGCGTGTGTGTTTATGTATATGTAGGTTCATACACATGTACTAATTAATAAAATTTCTTAACTATTTATGGAATGCTCTGTACAACATATAGCGTACCGCTCATATCATGGAAAACTTGAATCTGACTAGCAAGAAGATCGGAATCCTTCGCGAAAGTAACATGTTCCACTCGTATTTTTAGAGCTTCAGAAAAATTTTGATGAAAGTATATTATACCATGAAGTTCTCCTCTTTGAACATCATATTTCGCCTCTGAAATATTGTTATAGTACTTCTGAAAACACAATATAATTAATGAGAATCATCAAGAAACGTGTTAATGATTATTAATCTGTTTCTAGTAATTTATATTGAATAAAATTTTTCCAATCTGTATCAGAATAAAAGGTGACAGAGAAATGGATACCGAGAATACAGAAAGTGCCATTTTAATCATATACATTAAAACATCTGTGCACGCTACATTATATTTATGTGTCGTGTCTTTCGTATATTGATATTTCTAGTCCTAGGACTTTCGAGTGTGCTTTGTTCTGTATTTACTCTCGGCAACAGTACGTTAGCCGAGTGGAGTCGTTGGTGGAAAGCCTACCCGCGCAAAATGTTACAGTGAGCTCTTGTGATTGAAACATAAATTTGTTCGTCTTGCATGTGTGGTAAAGGCAATAAAGCGTCCACATACGCACTCAGTAGGCATTTTGCAAGCTTACTTGATCCTACTTTAATATATTGTATGTACAACATCATTAAATAACTACGTTACATGATTAATTTTTAAATTGTTACACCTGTGTCACAATGGAGTCGTCCAAATTGTTCAGGAATCTACAACTGAGGTTGCTGAAGTGGCAGCTGATTTCATCATTCCAAATATTGCCAAAGTTGCTGCTGTCGCAATTGCCAGCTTCATCGTTAACAATCCCAATATTGAAGTTCTGTGGATCATTACCAATTGCCAAAAGTAATGTAGCCCATATTAATATCGGTATTGATATTGCAAGAATTAGTGCTCTGAAAGAATTTTTATTAGTCTTATGAAATTTGCAATTGTTAAAAACTAAAAATATTGAAATATAACCTCTAGCTCGTTATACAATGACAATTTAGTACTACACAAGTATATTGAAGGAAACATTCGAAAAGGCAACATTCGAATTTGAAACAATTGCAATTTTATTTTGTTGACAAGAGCGTCTCTTCTGCGTTATTGATAAGTACTTGATAAATACTTACGAATACAAACGGGTAATTTGGATGCTGTTCTTCACAAATAGAGCTTGGAATCTTCTTAATCGTGAAACTTGTTTTTTCGAATCCGTTTTGTTTCCCTTAATAATTTGACTTATTAATGTCTTAAAATGATATAGATTCACAAAGCTTTTTATAACAATAAAAATCGTACATACTTTTAGTTGTTCATATTTGTTTTCATCGTGATTGAAGGCATCGCTACCAGTGTCTTGCATATTGGATCTCTGAGCTTCATTTAAAGTGACTGCATCATTCTGTGCCTCGCACAATTTCAGGAAAATTTCATCCAATGACGAGGATTGAAATTTCTCCAGTAATTTCTGCGGCGCCGATTCAGTTAACAATTTACCATGTCTCATTAAACTGACCTGCGTATCATCCACCATATACAATATTATGCACGATCAAATTTGTAACATTTATAATTAGGAAGAACACAGCGTTCTCGAAAAGAAGGAATAGTTCTTGCTTCAGAAGAAAACCTAGCTTATATAGGAATTTTAGCGACTTCTTTATATAAACAACTAATTTTTAACTCGGTCCTTTAAGATATAAATCAATTTGAAACATAAACGCCATTTAGGACCTGGCATAGGTGGTGGCCAATTAAATTACTAAGTGAATTCATATACCGTCTTTTTCTACCCTGCCCTGCGTGCCGGATTGAGGGAGGTCCCAGTTTTGAATCCTGGCTGAGGTAATATGTTTCGTAATAAGAATTTTAACTCACTACAGGGAAGAGTTAACGTAATAATGTTAAGTATAGCATTAAAA